AGGCTTTGGGGGGACATCTAGATACAAACCATAACATCAGGGAAGGGCACAGGGAGTTGGTGGTTTTTAAGACAGTGGAGACAGGGGGCTGGGGATTTAGCTCAGTGGCATAAGCACCTGCCTTGCAAGCAGGCAGTCGTGAGTTTAATCCCCGGTACCGATAAAAAAAAAAAGAAAAAAAAAAAAGAAAGAAAAGAAAGTGGAGACAGGCAATGAGCAGCCTCACTTTGTGACCTCATACACAACATGTGACCCAAGAGATTAAGTTGTAACTCCTTTCCTATTCCAGACTTTGTGTTGAGCAATTTTTATCTGCCAGACTCTGGCCAAGTGATCTATGTGCATTCATTCATATACAGGTAAACCTAAAATATTTCTACTTGTCAAAGATATCTCTGCTCCTCCTTCTCATCTTCACCATCATCTCTGTCATGAGCCATCAGGGCTGAGTCCTCCGAAGGAAACCCTTGGCAGCATCAATCCCGCACTCATTCGTGTTGCTGTTCCATCCAGTAACATCACAAACATAAAAAACACACACAGTAGAACAAAAAAGAAATAATTTGATTTATTCCTGACATAACTCTGGCAGTGCTCAACCCTCCTCTGTCTCAATGCCTGCATCTATTTTGTGTGAAAACACTTTTGTAACAGAGGCCGAAGCACTCTGTACACAGTACCTCCTTGGACTACTGTGAAATCTCACTTGATCTATAGTATAAGAAGCCATTATAAGAAATAAGAATTATGATAAGCAGGACTTTATAGTCTAATGCAAGGGAAAATGGGTAAGTTAAAATTTGTCTCTCCCCTGCCCTGTGCCGTGTGTGCATGTGTGTGCGTGTGTGTGTGTGTGTGTGTGTGAGTGTGTGAGTGTGAGTGTGTGTGTGGTATTGCAGACCAAAGTTTTGCAAACACTCTACTACTAAGCTAAATTCCCAGTCCTTTAAATATTTTTTTTTTTTTTTTTGGAGACAGAGTCCTGCTAAGTAGCCCATGCTGGCCTCGAACTTTGGCTCCTCCTTCCTCAGCCTCCTAACTACCAGGGATAACGTAAGTGTATCATAACAGCCAGCTAAATCTCTTAATAATTATTTTATAATGGATCTTTAATAAACTTTTCATTCTGACATAATTCCCATTCATACCATGCCACACACCTAGAGAAAAAATATGAACAGTGCTTACTTTTAAAATGCTGGTAGCACAGTTCTACCTCCTTCAGAAAAAGCATAGAGCGGGTTGCACTAGGTTGAAAGTGCTGAGAATGAGAGCTTAGCTTATGTTTTTTCCCCAATAAACTTCTCCAAAGTAACAGTAATCACCAATACAGAACATGCCTAAAATGTGCCTTCAGGATTTCACAGTCAAACAAAAGAAGAAATTAAGTATTTCCCACCAAAAATTAAGTCACCTATACGTTAAAAGAAAGACCCACCATATGTGAGTAAATTTAGCAAGAAATTTAATGGTATTTTTAGCTTAAAATGTTTTTAATAGATGATGCATACTTATGGGATGAATTTCAAAGATCCAAAAGGAAAAATAATAGAAATTAAGTTTCTCAGAGGCAAACATTATTGCTACATACATTATATATATATATATATATATGTTATGTTTATATATGCATTTGTATATGATATACATGGATGTGTGTACTTATTTTTCTACTGTAAATGATAGTAGGGGAGTACTGGGGATTGAACCCAGAGACTCTTTAGCACTGAGATACCTCTCTAGTCCTTCCTATTTATGAAACAGGATTTCATTATGTTGCCCATGCTGGCCCCAAACTCCTGGGTCCAAGGGGTCCTCGTCCCTTACCTCCCACGCAGCTGAGAGTACAGATGTGTATCACCACGGCTCGGCTCGTTGTATCTACACTTTGTTTTTCGTGTAACATATCCTGGAGTTACTTCCCTGTCAATACACAAAACAGGTTCTTTGATCTTCAAGGCTACATAACAGTTCATTTTATAGATGTACCATAATTGTAGGACATTTATACTGTTTCTAACCCTTTGCTTGAACAATTGTTGCAGCAACCAATAACACGTGCATACCTTGTCTTTACCATAAACTTTGCGGGGGTGGGCACTGGGGATCGAACTCGCGACCACACGCTTGCAAGGCAGGCGCCTATGCCACTGAACTAAATCCCTGGGCCTACCATAAACTTTTAAAGAAAGGAATTGCTGGGTCCAAAACTATGTAAATTTTAAATCATAGTGGCTATTGGAAAATTGTAATTAACAGGATCCTGTCATCAAATGAATATCTAAAATGCACTGAGCAATTGCTATTTGTAGTTTTCTTTAACTGCTTATGAGGTGTTAGGGCACAGTACTTGCTACAGCAAAATCCTGCCATTACAGACCCCCACTTCATAGAGTAGATGTTAGCAGGAGGCACAACGCATTTGGCCACTCACACCAGAAGAATCAACCCTGGTTAAACTTTTAAACACAAACCTAAACCTATGGATGTAGATCCAGCCCTTTTTCTTAAACCTAGTGGGTGGCAGACTCCAGTTTCTGGCATTTAGAAGTGAAACTAAATAGAAACAAAGATGAAAGATGGTCATCCGGCTTCCTCTTTAGGTTGACTTTTCAGCACAAACAGCATTATGAGAAATACGTTAGTTTTTCTTTTTTTAATTCCTTGTTTTAATTACTGCAAATGTTAATGTGACCTGGTAAGAATTATTTTTAGCCACTTATAATTACCCGGGCAGTATACCTCTAAAAATATAAAGTCGGTATTATAAGTCACAATTAAAAATAAAATCTTGAGACAAAGCTTGCTTTTCTTTGAAATGTGTAATGCTGCCCCTTTATACGCTCCCTCTCTAAACATAAATTCTACGTTTAAATTCCTAGACTTTAGGAGATGCAGAACACGTTAGAAATATCCTGTCCCCTAATTCAGTGGGCTTCCATCTTATCCAGCCTGCGAAATTCTTGGAGAATATTTCATAAATTTACAAAAGATGAATTTATTTGACATGTTTTGGAGGCAAATAAAGTCGTGTGGGTTTTAAAGCTTTCGAAAACTGGGGGATTCCCTGTGCCAGAAAAAGATCATTAGGCCTGCACTTAATACTTGAAATTACAAAGGGATGCACAAAATAGAACGCTTCTTATCCTCAAGGTTTAGGATCTTCCATGCTAGGTAGGATTTTTCGTTCACGACTCAGGGCAGGAGTGCGAGGGCGAGCTCCGTCTGCAGCAGAGGAGTATCTATAAATAGAAGGTGAAGCGTTCTAATACCGAGAGGGTGCGTCACAGCGTCTCTCCCCGCAAGCTGGAGGTCGGGGAGCCTCCGCGCGGCCGGGACGCCCGCCCCGGCTTCCTGCTCCAGGGCAGAGACCCGGGGCCGGGGAGAGACCCGGCCCTCCCGGAGCCCCGGCTGCGCAGCCGAGGTGCAGGGGGCGCTCCGATCGCCCCGCCCCCTGCTCTGCTGGCTCCCCACCAGTCCCACCCCCTGCCGGCCTGCGCCGGGAGAACAATGACCCCAGCGCCCGGGGCGCAGACGGTGCGCGGGCGAGCGAGCGAGGGGGGCCCGGGGCGCGCGCCCGGCCCCATCCGAGGCCACGTGGAGGATAATTTAGTCCCTTGGAACCCACACTCTCGGGGCTCCTGGATTCCCTGGAGTCAAGACGGAGCAGCAGTAGTCAAGCGGAACACACATTTAGGTCCTTGTCTAGTTTGTGTCTGAATCGCGAAGTAAGTCACTGTAGGAATTTTCAAGCACCGTCTTTCTGTAAACAGACTGTTCTGGGATTCCCCAACCATGGCTCTTATCTTCCTCTGCCTCTTCTTCCAGCTTGACCCTAAGTGTCTCTCTCTCTCCTGGCCTGTTAACACATATGTTTCCTTTCCCTTGCTCATTTTCTCTATTACTATTGTTGGTGGTCCTGCAACATTTTCCCCTTCTTTGCCATGTTCTAGATACTCATGTTCAGTATCTCATAGTTTGTTTCCTTCGATTTCTTTTTTAAAATTTTTTAATTAAAAACCTCATCTGCATGATTTTTTTTAAAAAATCTTCTTTCTACCACGAGTTCCTGTCTCCCTAAGGACTGAAGGGTTCCTGGAAAAAACCAAAAGGTTTCATGTGGCATTTTATCCCAGCAAAATATCTTGGAGTTCCACTTTCCAGGAGCCAGGGCTTGCAGAGGATTTTATACTTATATTTAGGTCAAGCTATCTTAGCTGCAGAAATCACAAATCTTGGTACTGCCTTGCTTAAAATGAAAAAGCATGCTGGCAAAGTGGGGGGCACTGTTTCCAAAGTAGGTCTCTGCACGGAGATTTTACAACCTGCACTTAATTTAAAATTTTGATCGTACAGTGTTTAAATTCGGGACGCCGGCATCTTTCATTCACCCATGAAGTGTGTCTCTTGGGTCATCTTTTTCCATTTGTTCCCACATGGAGTGACTGACAACTTTGTTCTCTGTGCTGTAGCGTTCAAGTGTAGCCTTTTATCACCACACACACACACACACACACACACACACACACACACACACACAGAGGACAGCCTTAGCTCCCAGACTTGGAACTTGAAGAAACGGGCAGGCAAAAAAATGGTTAAAAATTGAACAAAAAGCATCCTTTTGTAGTTAAAAAATGCCTTAGAGGTGAGAATGAGTGTGAGTGGCTTGGGTGAGCAGGGTCTAGAGTTGTCCTAGCAGCGTGCATTTCCAGGAGCCAGCTTGCCAGGGCTGACCCTCTGGTCGGGCGAGGCCTGGACGAGCAAGAGTCATATTTCTCTGCAGATGATATCAGAGAGAAACGAGCTAGTGCAGCCATGACAGGAAAGCAGATAGCAGCAGCAACGAGTAGAAGAGAGGAAGAGTCACCTGCTGGAGGCAAGGGGCAGGCAGGGTAACAGACAGCTTGGTCTTGGCGGGCACTACATGAAGACAAGAGCCTGGCCCCAGGAGGGTACCACCACTTCCTCCTCTCTGTGGGTTCCCAAAACTGCTCTCTTCCAGGCAGGGCCTGGCCTGAAAGGGCAGTGAGACTAAGCTATAGGTCACAACCAGCCCTATTCCCATAAGCCATCCTCCAGCCTTTCAAAAAATTGTAAATATTTGCAGGCCCAGACACTAAGAAAATGATTATCATCATTTATTGGAATTTTTTTTACACTAGGCACTCTGTTATGTATTTTTTAACATAGTATCTCACTGAATCATCATTAAAGATGTTGAGGTGGATATTATTATTCTTATCTCATGTAGTACAGAGAAACCAAAGTTCTGGGTACAACGGTGTACACCTGTAATCCCGGAACTCAAGAGCAGAGACAGGAGGACTACCTGGGCTTACATACTGAGTTCAAGACTACTAATAAGACCCCCATCTCAAAAAATAAAAATAAAAAAATAAATAATTAAAAAAAAAAGGATGGAAGAAACTAACCAAGATACATAGCAATCGCAAAAGGTTATTTACCCAGGGACACAAAGCTCATGAACAACAGACACAGTATGAAACCCTAGTCTAAGTCCAAAGCCTATACTACGGACTCCTTTAAACAGGAGATAAGGGGCCATAACCGTAAGGGCCCGGGAATTCGCCCTCAAGTGAGGGAGAGTTGACACATCCCTTCTTTGAATCACTTAGGGGCTCTTTGTTTGTGGGGTCTGTATCGTGGGGGTCTACACAAGTGTGCACAGGAGGCCCGGTGACAACTCCCTTTGTCCCTGTGGAACTTCATTCGGGCTCCTCTCTTTACCCTTGAACAGCAAAGCTTCCTTGAGAGCACCCTAGACTGTGCCATCTAGTTTGGGTAGCAATCATCCATGTGGAGCTGAATAGTTGGCTCTTTACAACAGTGGGAGGGCCCATTCATTACCAAGACAACCACCGCAGTGGCAGCTGTCACCAGCAGTGACAGAGGCCCAGAGCAAGACACTGTGTCTCAGAGAGTGGCGGCCAGAAACCAAGATGGGAAGCGGTAGGGTCGCAAGGGAGAGGCCTTGATCCAAGCCAGGTTGGCAGCAGCACCAGAGACGAGTTGGCACTGACGTCTGCAGCCCTGCACGCGGTGCCAAAGTCCACCTTCCCGTTTAGCAGCAAAGGTGGGAGCCAGACTGCCGGGATTCCAGTCCAGTTGCTAACCCTTCGCAACCTCACGGCTCCTGTAAAATGAATTAGAGTACATTCAGACAAGTTAATTAAACTCTCTGTGCCTCCATGTCTTATCTGAAAAATGGAAATGATAAAAGTGTTAGCATTTCTCTGACAGAGCTGTTTTGAGGGTTAAACGAGTGAATGCCCAGAAAGTGCTTTCAACAGCAGGCACCTTCTCAGGGTAAGAAGTTACCATGACGATCATCTTCACGTAGGGTAAGTCCCCTGGGACTGGTGACAGGAAGGCAACAGGGGATCCCCACTTCATGCATACACCCTCCCTCTGTGAGAAAACACAGCAAAACTAGACAAAAAGAAGGCTGGTGGGGCTAGGCCTCCGGAGAAAGGCTGGGTAGAAAGTTTGAACACAGTTTAAGAGCGCTGATCCTCCCCAACCCACTCCTCCCTTTGCAGTGGAGAAAGACCCTGAAGTGAGAGGTCTGCAGAATGAACAGCAGTGTGGGGAGTGAGCCAGACATTAGACTGGATACCAGAAAAAAGAACTGACTTTAAATACCAGTTGGACCCTTGAGTACGTCACTTAATTTCTTTGAGTATAAATTTCCCACACAGTGAAATGAGTTCAAGTGCATTTTTAAAGCAAAGGATCTTCCCAGCTTCTCTCCTTCCTTTCAGTTACTGATGCTGGCAGCTCAACTGTTGAAACTGCCATGTTTTGTTTTTTAACACAAGTTTATCTTTTTTTTTTTTTGTCTTTTTCCTTTTTATCAGTACTGGGGACCCAACTCACGACTGCCTGCTTGCAAGGCAGGTGCTTATACCACTGAGCTAAATCTCCAGCCCTGAGTTTATCTTTTTAGCCACAGTTGCTTGGCCTATGAATGGGCACCTGACCAAGGTAGGCCAATCAGATTCTTTCCTTAGGATTTTAAAATTTTTAAACTGGTGCTGGAAAAAAACAGCCAGTCCTCCTGGAGTGGTGAGTTTATTGAGAACGAAGTTCGGGACCATTTGGCAGCCGTGTCTCACCAGATAAAATATAAGCTGCTGACATGGAATAGACAGCAAAGACAAGAAGCAGGTTACCCGGGTGGTGCTTAGATAGGTGTTTCTGACATCTACCCTTGTTTAGATTGCAGTTAAGTGAAACTCTGATGTCCTTCCAATCCAGTTCTGTTTTTTGCCTAAGCTGGTTTGTGTGTTTCCTGTCATTTATAACCCTAAAGCCTTGGTTACTACAAACAATTTTTAAGAGTCTGTAACTCTGTCTACGGTTTTATACAAAAACCAATAATAGTAGTGATTTTCAAATAGGGCTGTGTCTCTGAACTGTAGGTAGCTATGTAAAAGTTTTTAAATCCCATTTAAGTCATTAAAAGAGAATAAGTTCAAAACTCTTAATAGCCTTTTATTATATGTAAGTGAAAGGTAAATAAGGTAAGAGCCGACATCTGGATGAACTGTGAGAAAATTAGCTGTTAAATTATAAAAATTGATTTCAGAACTGTTAACGTGGTGCCCTAGTTTTGAAGTCGAATCTGCTTTTTTGTGCGTGCCCAGTATAACACAAGAAATTAGTAGCTGCAGCTTGATGAAGACCAATAAATTTAAAACGCTGAGTCACAGTTTGGGTATTTTGGCCTAAATTCCTTGTGTTGACTGTCTCCATTACCTAATTAACGGTGAGTAAGTAAAATCTTTTCTTTCTTTAGGTTTACATGGAGAGTGAAATAGCTATGCAGTCTCCCACTTCTGGTTTCTACTCTAATTCATCTAACAAGTCCAGCTGTCTATTATTTAAAATAACTTCTATTTCAGTTTTTAATAAATATATTTTTTATTTAGGCTTCGGAGCACAGTACATTTCAATATATAAAATTTTGCATTTCTGCCACATTATAAAACAGGAATGTCTGGTAACAATAAACTTTCTGGGGCTGGGGATTTAGCTCAGCAGCTTGTAAGCACTTGCTTTGCAAGTGCGTGGTCGTGAGTTCAATCCCTGGTATCGATAAAAAAATAAATAAATAAATCTTTCTAATGAACTCTATGCAATATTAAATTTGAAATTCATGAATACATCATAGCTTATATCTATAATTGTGTTTCAATTTTTTCATTCTTCAATAATTAATTTTCATAATGATTGGGGCGGTGCTTTCATAGATAATATTAATTAAAACCTATAGAAAATTATGAGACCTTATGTTTTTCTTATTATTGTCATGTTAACCTCACACACACACATACATACACACAAAACTCACAAGCCATGAAACTAGATTAATATAGTAGTATAGTAATAAAATCATCAATTTATTTATTTGGGGATACAAGGGATTGAACACAGAGCCTTCACTTTGAGCTATAGCCCCAAACCTTTGTTTTCATTTCTAATCCTTTAAGATAGGGTCTCATTACATTTCCAGGTTAGGCTTAAATTTGTGATTCTCCTGCCTCAGCCTCCCAGATGCTGGAATTACAATGTGTGCCACATCAAGGGAAATTTGTCACTTTGAGTTTTACAGACTCTTGGAGCCTACCTTTCATAGTGGACAAGCTCTCAAATATAAAATTGTGTAAGCAAACAGTGATACTAGGGCAAGGAGACTAGGGCTTGGATAAACTCCTACTAAGACATTAAGATATTTGAATAACAAAATACTGGTGATGTGGGATATCAGTGTTGCCTGGTTCCTGAGATGGAGCAAGAGGAACCCCGTTATCCAGATCTTCCCTAGCCAAAGGCAGAGCACATGGCTCTGCCACTACTTTGACGTTTCCCCCACATAACCCTTGTCTAATCCTTCCTGTGAAGCAGCTCCTAACCAATGCCTCACAGCTCAGCAACATGGTCAGCGGGCTGACCTATGGAGGACACAACCATCCTGCTCTCTCTCCTCACATGCTCCATGCTGAGCTCCACTCCCAGCACCCAGTCACCCCTTCACCACCCTGCCCCTAGCCCTCACCCACTTTGAACTCCTGCTTGGGGACCTCCTCACTCTGCCTTCATGTCCATCATGTCTTGGCCCACAGAATTATTGGCCTTCCTTGAATCTTTTCTTGGATTTTAATAATCCCTGCGTGGAGGTAGAGGGCCATCAAGAAGGGTTTCCTAAGGTCAACTCTAGAGGGGGGGTCTGCACAGAGAGCTCTTCTGGCTCCTCGCCTGACTCCGGCTTTGTGTATTTCCTCTGGTTAGATGTGTGGCCACATTGCCGTCAAGTAGTGCCCGTTCTTGGTACAGGACCTACTTTGGCCTGGGACAGTTTAGCTCACTCTCAATTTCCTTTCTCTTCCACAGCTGTAAATGCCCAGCTCCCCCTTCCAGGTAGAAGCACAGTCAAGCGTCACTTCACAGCAAGGGCACTTCTGAACAACATAATTAAGTGATGCTGTCCTTGTGTAAACATCATAGAGTGCACTTACACAACTCTGGATGGTGTGGGTCAATCTATCCATGTGGTCTCTTGACACAGTGAACTCAGACATATAAGGTTGCTCGAGTGTAACAAGGTATGGTGTTTTACAGTACAACTTTTTTTGTGTGTAAGTAGGAGAACACTCTAAAATAGAAATAAAAAGTGTTGCAAATATATAAAGCAGTAATAATTGCATGTGCTATATTTTTTCATGACTGGCAGCAGAGATTTACTTGCACCAACACTACCACAAATATGAGTAATCTGTTGAGTTTTGACATTAGGATGATACTATGTTATTAGATGATAGGAATTATTCATCTCCCTGACACTCTTAGGTGATCACCATCATACATGTGGCTTTTATGGTCCAAATGCTCACCATTATCTGGTGCATGACTACAGTACTCAATAGAAGAAGCTGAATGTCACAGCGCCTTTCATGTTTGGTTCAAAATTAGCATGAAAAGACTGACAAGCAACAGGTTAGTCCAGCAATGTATAAGTGGTGGGCTGCAAATGCCAAGCAGGTAGGCCAACACGTTTAGAATGAAGTGAGATATATTTTTGCTGCAACATAGCATGCCATGACAAGAGTATTAGCCAGGGGTATTGCAACTTGGTGTAGAGCTATGTACAACTTGCTGCCAGTATGTTAAATGCTACAGAAATCACACCTAACCACCGAATGTGAATAGATGTGCCATCAGGGGAGTAACTTGATGATGCTACAGTGGGAACTGTGGACACTTTGATAAGTTACCATGAGACATCCCTTTGTAATCACCACTTACTTCTATAGTCTTACTTTGAATCTTTTAATCTCTTTAAGTGCACAACCAAATATTCAGGAATTTGAAAATGTGTCATGAGTGCAAAAAAGAATCTGAAACATTATAACCGTGACTAATCCAATGACGGAGACTAAAACCATGTGTCCAGGAGCAGTAGAGTTTAAGATTGATGAAGAAGAGCGGAAGAAAATGGAGAAACTTTGCAAGCATCTGGCAGATGGCCTGCAGATGCGTATCCCGGAGTGACAACAGATATGGTGAAGAAGCTCCACTCGGTTCCCTAACTTGAAGTACAAGTGAACTGCCCGTGAAATAACTCCATTCATGTATTCACTTTGAACTCAACCAGTAAATGTTGCTGGGCACTTACAAATGCCATGCAATACATCTCGGGAGATAGAGACACATGATAGGAGAGACAGTTACCTTATCTGGGAGGATGGACCTGAACCAAGAGAACTGAGAAAATGTGGACTAGTGACGATATGTTAGGAAGAAAGCCAAAGAAGGACTGAAAGAGAAACTGAATGGTGTATCTGCAAAGTGTTATGGACTGAGAGTTCGCGTCTCCCCACTGTTCCCATACTGAAGCCTAAACACCCATTGTGATGGTATTTGCAGATGAGACCTTTGAGAAGCAATTAGATCATCATGGCAGAATCCAAAGGGTGGGATTCGTGCCCTTGTAGAAAGAGTCCAGAGACCTGTACCCTCTCTCCTCAAGCCGGCATAAAGGAGAGGCCAACAGAGCATGTGCCTACCAGCCAGGGATGGAGGTCTTACCTCAAATCCATCGTGCTGGCATTTCAGTCTCAGACTTTCAGACTC